GTCGGATGTGAAACCCCAGTTGAAAGTACAGAATAAAATCCAATAAAAAAATATGAAATCAGATATTTTGAGTTCTTGCACCAGCAAAAACATATGAAATACAAAGAAATATATATATTCATTGGATCGTATGCGCTGCGTACCATACTTTTTTTATCAGTATACATGTCGATCTGCTAATGAAGTATAAAAATCAATGCCTACATATTTTGTAACAAAAAAATAATATAGTAAGTTATCATATAAAACCAATATGATTTTTAAAACGTAAAATAAATAAGAATTCTTATTAGTATTCAGTAGATTTATCAAATGACTAAAAATAACTATCTCATTTTATGTGTATTTATAAGAACAATCGTATTAAATATTAATAGTTTTTCATTTATCATACTTTATAACGGCCTGGAAAATAATCAAATTATTCTCGCGGCCCGTTAAGAATTTTGTTTTCGCTGTTCGGTGCGGGGCTCACCGCCGCCCCGATCAGCTAGCCGCTTCCTGGCGTTCCGCCGAATACGGGCGGGCACGCGCTGCCCTGAAAAGGGATCGCGAAAGCACGGCTAAGCACGAGAGCGTGCGTGAGTTCTAATCACGGGCGTGGGAAGGGACAGAAGTGCCTTCCTGGGTACGCCCAACACAAAGTCAACGCTTAAACAGGTTAAATCGGGCTTTATTTACTCATACGAACTTTTCATACAATACCGCATGCCGAGATTTCGCTATCAATACTGTTTTAGAGAGAGAGACGCTCGCTCGCGTAACTAACGCACGCTAAGTTGTCGCTTATAAACAGAGAGGAACTCACCGGGAAGTAGCTGCTGCAGACAGACTACTCCTTGCTAATCGCCCGCGTTATCGCCCTTGCTCGGGCGGGCAAGTTCTGCCCCTGGTAATCGCCCACTCGAGATGACGATCCACAGGTTCCGGCGATTTTTGAGGATAGTCTCCAATTTTCTCGCGCACTCGCACTTTTCTTTATCTGCCGGTCGCTTTCCTTTTCTTCCTCTTTTCTTTTGGTCGCGCACGCACGTGACAATCCCTCGAGCTCGCCGGTCTAAGTCCAAGTGCCTCTAAATCGTTTTCTCTCCCCACCCTCTCGCTACGGCACGCGCCTCATCGAGTCTCGCTCTCTCTCTCTCTCTCTTCACTCCTCGCTCGCTTGCCCGCTTGGCCATGCTCGGCCTCGTGCGCAGACAATCTTCCGCGAAAACGGCCCCGGCCGTTATAACTTACAATAATATAATAACATTAATTGCTTTGGAATTGCACATTTAATTTGTATTAGTTTTCATGAGTATAGAACATTTAAAAAGGATTCACTAATATTAGATCCCATATGTCATTTTCTGGTGCCTATTTAATAGAAATAATGAGTATATACAGACACTTTCGATTGCTCTTGTTATTAGAAATATTGCTCTTTTCTGGAAAGCAAGAGTTTAATTTCACCAGTTTCTATCAGAATAAAACATTAAATATTCGATATTCTTAGTATGAATTTATAAGGTATATTTGCTCAATTTTTTTGGGAATCAGTGAGTTTTCTGATTTTTTACGAAATGGAAATAATGAGTATATACATGATTTTGTTCCATGAGAAGGAGTGAGATAGTTCCGATTGACGATTATGAGTAATATTGCCCTTTTCCGGAAAAGCAAATTATCAATTATTCCAGTTTTTATCAGAATAAAACATTAAATGTTTAATATTTTTCGGGAGGATCAGCGATTTCTCCTATTTTCTACGCAATGGACAAAATGATTATATGCGTGATATTGTTTCATTAGAGGAAGTTTGATTTTACAGAAACTTCTGATGGACGTTAAGAAACGTGTAGAATTGGTGTTTTATGATGAACTTACCTACATTTTTACTCATTAGTATAGAAGTATTCGTTAATTACAAATTAATCATTTTTCGTAATTAGTTGTGAAATAAGGAAGGAAAAAAATGTAAAATGTAAAGAGTGATGATTTATTCTATATTTATAAATAAAATATCCTTATTGTCATAAAATAATATAATAAAATTTGAAAACGTACATAACTTACTTATGTAAATACAAATAATACTTAAGTTTTATTCATCATGATTCGATTCAATTTCGTCTTCACTATTCTCCTCATCATCACTGCCGTTTTCCCCATCATAATCATCATCATTGTCGCTTTCATCATCATCAGCATCGCTGCCTTCACCTTCCTCATTTTTTGAACTTGATTTTGGTTGATTTATACTCTCCAAATTGACAGTTACTTGTGCCTCTACCTCCTCAAGTACATTATCGCTTGCTCCTTCTGGATCGCAAATTTTCTTTTTACTTTTGCGATTCATATCGGCTATTTTACTAGCGATATGCTCGCCTGTAGCTTTAGCTTCTTGCGCGACTCTTACTGGATCCAATTTGACTTCAATTGCCAAATAATATTTAAAAATACCTGTAATATATGTTATGTTCAATATATTATATAATGTATATAAATGTTGGTCAATAATATATCACACGTTAGAGAATATAAATATATAATACGTATATAATTACACACGCGCGCACAGTCACCACACACAGACATTTTTGAAATCATTAATAAAAAATATAAGGGATGTAGATTAAAAAAAAAAATAGTCGAATTGCGAAATTTACTTAGGGTAATTTGTATTAACATTGATATATGTTCTCCAATTTCATGAGAATAATACAAAATTCATGAAGGATCCACATAAATATGTATCAATCTGAACTTCTAAAGGTTAATTTTTATTTTATTTTACTTGATATTTACCTATAACAGCTCCTAACAACTTGGGATCAAGTTTTGGCTTTGCCGGAGCTTTAGTCCTTCCAGATTGTTTGCCAGTAACCGAACTGCTTTTCAAAGTTTCAGTGCCAAAGATAGTTTCAGCTATATGGCGTACAAATCCAGAATATTCTGCGCCTTTTTTGTTTTTTTTACTGTATGTATACAGTTTGTTCTTGGCATTATCATAGTCAGTTTTTGATATATAAACGCTATTTCCACAATGTATCTAACAATAAAAGAAAGTATGTAAAACAAATTATTAAAATATCTTTTACAATAAAATGATAACATTTTTAAAGCAAAGTGAATATAAGATTTCATTTGATTAAGTTGGAATAACATATTTTACTGTGTGAAATAGATAGTTGAAAGAAAATACGATGTAATGATGTATAGAAAAATTTACTTTCATTATAGCATTTTTTAATTACGTAATATTCAACGGTAAAGTGTAATTTTTCGCGATTGTTTGAGTAGATTTTCTGCGCATAAAATCTAGCCATAAAACTGACGCGGAAATTCATGCAAAAAAAGGACTCAGAAATCGATGTAGTGTCTAGGTGGAATATGTCTCCATTCACATAGCAAATGTCTAAATTGCTCCGCTACATTCCTATCATATAATGAAGGCTATAACAATTACTTATTAAGCTAGTCTATATATTGAAAAAGGAAAACATGAACCTACCATATTACCACTCTTTCGTAGGTACCCTACATCAGCATCTCCTTTGGCAATCTGTTCAAACGGATTAATATCTCGACTAGCTATTAATTGTAAAATAAATTATTCTTTTATAAATCATATAAGATAGTGGAGCAACAATTATATAAAATGTGAAATATTTACCATATTCATCTACCTTTTCATATATTTTAGTTTGCAACTGAGCATTAAGATCCTGCCACTTCTGTAACTCTTTTTGTTTTGTTATAGATATATTTCGATATGATTCAATGGTTTGTAAAGCTTCTGCCAAATTAGATTCTGCTACTTTTAATTTGTTTTTCAATGTCTTTAATTCATTTTTGTCGTTTTTTTATCTTTTATTTTATGTTTTTGATCTTTTAAATTTCCCACAGTTTTACATGATTTCCGATCGGTTTTTTTTTCGGTTCCGTTTGAAATTTTTTATTTTCTTTATAACAATCTTTAGGAATATTGATAGAATTATCAATAATAGTAGTAAAGTTGTTTAAAGTTGACACGTTCTGTTTGTCAGATAATCCGCGATCATGTTGGATGTTCCTTTCAGTTTCTATTATCTGCAAATGAATAAAAAAAATTTAATATATAATTATACATACCTATATACAAACATTAATTGTCTCGCTAAGGAGGGTGTCGATGCATTTGAAAACCTTAATAAACGTATAAATCATATTTTATAGTCTACTTTCGATCAAGAGCTTTTATTATTATATAAAAATTATTTTGGGAAAAGCAGGAAACAACAAGGATGAACCTTTAAATTTATGTAATTTGCATTGAAATTATATCTATTTAAACCTTGTGGACATCCTCTTTTGAAAATTAAGGAAAGTATAGTATTAGTACGCTATCCCGTTAAGCATTCTCTTAATTTTTTAAATACTTAAATTCGTTGAATGATTCTTCTTTAATACATTTATACTATTTTCAGGAGAAGTGATACTATTATCAACTTTTGCTGATGTAGCAACATGAACTTGTGGTGCAATAGTAGTGTCAACTTGTGGTGACGTAGCAATGTAAACTAGTGGTGAAATGGTAGTGTCAATTTTTATTGACGTAGCAGCTTCAACGTATGGTAAAATAGTAATTTCAACATGTGCTGAAGTAGCAGTATGAACCTGTTGTGAAATAGTTGTCTCATCTTCAGCTGACGTAGCAATATAAATTTTTAGTGAAATATTATCACAAACGTTTGAAATCGTAGTGTTAGCTCCTGAAATTGAAATAGCAGTGTCGACTTGGAACGAATTTATACTGGTGGCACTGAGGCATAACGACGTTAGCCACTTGCTCATTAAAATCGAGATCGATTAAAATGATTAATATTTGATGGATGCTTTCAGTCATGACTTTCTTATATCAAGAAGATATTATAACTACTACTAAAAAATGGATATTTTACAGACTACACTTAACCAATAATAAGACATTAATTGAAATTAAAGTATATACTTTGAAAGTGAACAACGAATTCTATTATCGACATTTAAAGCTTGTAGATAATGAAATGTATCGTAAAAGCTTCCGCTAGACGATCTCCACGTGCTACGATAATTCCAAGATCGACGGAACACATAAATTTCACTGTAAATTGGAAAAATGAATTTAAGTCGTTATTCCTCTAAGCCAAAGATATCTATATTTGCAATTTTCTGTACTTACTTTTCTTCTTTGGAACATCATTATTTACGGATTTCTGCTTTCTTTTTTTACTTTCTCCTTTACTTTTAGAATCGGAAGACTTTTTATTTTTTTCATTTTTCTTAATCTATCAGAAGACATTTTTAATTCTAAAACATTTTTTGTTTTTTGTACATCTTCATTATTTTCTATACGTAAGGTCTCATTAGAATGAGGATCTGTATGCTGTATATTTTGGTACTGAAATAATTAAAAAAGTATTATTTTTAAGTAATTTAAGTCATCGCTGTATTGTATACAAAATTATCAGGTGCATTCTGAATCCGTAGGTTCCTTGAGACAACTTCTGTCTGAACAAATAAAGGTCAATAGCATTTGTAGTTAACGGGTGTATTCCGTTTTGTCTCGATACTCGCAAGACATTTCTGAACGTTCCGATTTAAAAAAACGGAAAACTGATGTTATAACGAGCCGAGGCTCGTTATGTCTCTCTCTCCCCTTAAGTTAATCATTATCTGTTGATAACCCATGTATTCTTTTCTTTATGTATTTTTGCCTTGCCGTAGCTGTGGATGCGGCACGAGGTAAGTCAGGGAGCACCGAGTAGAGAGAGTGAGAGAGAGATCCGCGTGTACGCGTGTAAGCGTGGACGCCCGAGTGTCGCGCACGTTGCCTAATTGGCTGAGACGCGCCGCTGCCGAATAGCTAGCGCGAGAGAGGGGGACCACGTCCGCGTGCGAGACAGAGTCGGCTGCCCGCCTTCGCGAAAGCCAACAAGTTCGGCGATCAGCGCGAGGAAGAAGTGCTTTGTGCTACGCAGCTCAGGTTTTCTTGCCGATAAAGACGAAGGGAGCAGGGTGCGTGCATGCGTGCGTGCGTGCGCGGGTGCGTGCTTGCAGATCTTAGCCGGTCAACCCGAGAGAGCTGCCTCGTGGCCGAACACCTGCGCGTGTCAAGTCTAAAGCCGAGGCCACTGCGAACTTGTCATGTAAGTGCCCGTTCGATCTTAAGACTCTCTCTCTCGCTTGCTTCTCGCTTGCCTCTCTCACTGCGAATGCTATTTGTATGCTTCCTTTGTTATCTTCGTCTTAATAAATACTCTTTCTGCTAACCGCTGTGTCTTTCCTCTCGGCACTTCCTCCCTCCCGTATCACGCGCACGCCGACTTGCACCGTCCGGTGCTACCTGACCTACGACGCTCTCCGCGGGCCGAAGGCAAGGGTGCCTTCGAGGGGCATAACTGAGCCGCTGGGCTGAGTCCCGCATGTTCCCCATAACGAGTTACCCGCAAGCCGAGTAGCCACTTAGCATCACCCTTAACGGGGTAACAAGAACCCCGTTACAATGTAAAAGCATTACAAAATTAAAATTTGAAACAGATTTCAGCAGAATTAACAATAATTTAACTTTAGCAAATATAATGATAACGTGCGGATGAGTTATAAAGTATCGAGAGTAATGTGTAAGTTTAGTCGAGTTACCCGGGTCTATAAGCGCTAAAATATAGTGTGTGCAGTAATTTAAATTATAGTTAGTTTATATTGTACAGAGTTAGTGACATTTTACAACGATAATTTTTACTGATGATAGTTTTAAATTTTATTGAAAGTTGTTCTAATATTAGTTTGTGTTTTTCCTTTTGGGACTTTCTGATACGTCTCGCGACTCTCGAGACAAAACGAAATACACCCAACATCAAACATTAAATCATTTATAAAATAAGAGATTGCATCAAAACGAAAAACTTCTACGAAGTAGTGGGAATATAATTACGATGCTACTGTAAAAATGTTAAACTGATCTCTGTCTCTTTTAATTCTGTCGAAGTTGAGTGCCCGCTCGGTTGAAAAAAGTGGAAAAAAAGCTATGCTGATGCTTTAATAATTTTTTTAGATTATAGAACTAAGAACATATTTTTTTATTACGTAAATGTTTTATTGTATATTTCATCGAAATTTGCTGTTTTAAATTGTGAAAATGAAACTAAAATGTTTCCACAAGCATAAATTTATGTACATCTACTGATTTTTTTGCAGTGCGTATATGCATTCTTCTACGTCAACTTAAGGCGAAAAGGTAAAAAACATGTTAGATCAGCTTTTTGCAAAAAGTGGCCATATTTGAGAGTAAATAAAATACTATATGCAAAAGGACACACATAAATTTGTATCTCTGGTAATTACTACCCTCGCGAGAAAATTTTTATTATGGCCGTACAGACCTTTGGCGCCATTAACCACATATAGAATAGAATAGAACATTTTTCCTTTAGGAGTAAACCCACCAGCGGGAAACATTGCTACTTTCGCCTTTTGTTGAAAAACGGATTATTATTATACTAAAAAATTATTTTAACAACATCATAACAGATCTAATAAAAATCGAGCAAGAGGATGCGTTATGGATGGAATTAGCATAAAATAAGAATTGACAGAGAACATTCCAAATACCTCTTAAACAAAAAATGGAATTGTTTAAGTAAATAAATTAATTTAAAAATGGATGATTCTATCGGTGTACGAACTCACGTAGCGCCCTTTATATTGAGGTTCATGTTTTAATTTGTACATTACCAAAACGAGTTTTCTCATTAACCAAGAATCCATTTCTTTAAAATCATAGAGTATTGTATAACCCTGATTAAATTAGTAGAATAGAGATTGTACAATGCTTTTACAATATGCGTTTAGAAGTTAGATTGTAGATCTTTAATTTTATATTGTACAATATTGCATTTAACCTTACATATACGGGAATGTTGTTTAAATTCTGTTTTAAAATTAACTTGTAGTTTAATGTTTTTTATCATTTATCTATTGACCTTTACAGAAATTATATAGCTTTCGTGCTGTGTAATTACGTGTGACTAGTTGATACGTGATTGACTTAGATGATAAATAATTGATTAATTTGTTGACTATGGAGTAGTTAAATTATTCGTCGCAGCTTATTCTATTGAACCAGCCTTCGAGAAGAGTACATGCTCTCATGAACAAATTAACCTTAAAATAAAACCACATTAACCTTAGCCAAAAGTCTTTTTATTTGCCACCCCGTACACCTACGTCCCAACAGGTTACGGGCGCCAGCACGCTTCCACTGCGCGAAATCTCAGCGTACTTTATCGCGAGTGATAAAACTGTGAGTGAAGTGAGTTGATCTGATAGAAGTGTGTGAGACGAGAAGAAGGAAAAGAGAGGAAGGCGACGAGGCAGAGAAGGGCAACAACGAGACGAGGAAGTTCGAAGACGTGAGGCGGGGCAGCATCAAGCGACGATGGCTGCTTCACTGGCCCTGCAATGCGAAAGGCACGAACAAAGAAACGGTAGGTGAAGGAATGAAAACGCGCATTAAAGTAGTGAGACGCGAAGAGACGTGAAAGCGGAATCACGAAGAAAAGCAAAGACGTGAGTTCCGAGAATTAAAACGCAGGCCGGCACGACAGGCACGAACACGCGGGCTGAGCGCGCGCAAACATGGCGGCGCACGAAGACAGCCGAGCACACACGAAAGAGAGAGAGAGAAAGAGAGTGCGCGTGTGTTGAGAAAGAGATAGAGAGAGAAAGAAAATGAGTGAATGTGCGAAGTGCGAAAGAAAGAAAACGCACAAGCGAGACGTCGCTAATAATGTGCGCGTGTTAACACACGATCTCTTAACTATTTACTTCAAATCAAAATGAGACGCGTGCATAGAATTAAAATAATTCAATAAATAAATTAAAACGCAAAGATGATAATAAATAAAAATTTAGTGACGTGCATTTATAAAATAATCATTCGATTCTAATAGATGAGCTCACACTGCTGGCGGTGATCCGCACAGCAGCTATTGACTTTGGATGGAAAGAGAGGGGAGTGAAAAATGTTACAATAAGAGGAGACATCAACACGTTCTATTTCATCACCCCAGATTTTGATGTAAATAAACGAGGTATATACTTACGAAAACATACTTATAAAAACATTATATAAAGCTTCATTAATTATAAAAGAAATAAAAATTTCGTGGCAATGTGTTCCGTTCATATATTAAATTAATTAAAAAAAACTGCGCAGCGCGGAACACACTTTACAATAAAATTGATGCCGAGAGAATGTAGTAGCAGTGCGCTAGATTTGCACGACATCAAGAGCATCTACTTGAAACACTTGATGTGTACGGACTTCAAGTATTTGTTCATTCTTTTATTTTGATAACTTGATGTTCGGTTAACTAAATGAAAGAATATTATACTAGACTCCACTAATAAAATTTGATTTATACAGACGTATCAGAACTTTCCTCGGAGGAACACCAACTCCTTGAGAGGCTGATCGAACAAGAAGAAGAACAAGGAAGAAAACTTGTTGTTGATCTTGAGGGTGTTTTGAGCAAGTCGGAGTCCGAACGCACCAATGAAAAGGATGCAAGTGAAGAGAGAAAAGACGAGGATGAGAAGAGAGATAAACGAGATGACGAGAGCGGTGATGAGTTTGAAGAGAAGAGAAGGGAACCTGATGACGAGCGGAGAAGCGACCTCGAAGAGAAGAGAGATGAGATCGATGAGAAAAGAGATGAGGAGACGAGTGCTGTTGATGAGAAAAGCGAAGGTATAAAACCAATAATAAAACAAAACATAAAATGTCACATAAATTTGAATAGACTCAATAAATTACCCAAAACTTTGAATATTATAGCACCCGATCAACAACAAATAAGAGATGAGGCCAAGAAATACGAAGAGAGAATGGATGCGGCAATACAAAGCGAAGGGTTAGACGTGAAAGCATTTATAGACGCTATGAAGGCAGAGCTGGCCCAAGCTTTGGCCTCCATTAAAGTTGAGGTTGCCAATCAGATTCAAAAAGGCTACCTCAACATGAATGTCCGTATGGACAATAAATTAAGCGAAATAAAGACGAGACTGGACAAGCATGCTGCCCGCATCTACGCCTTAAAAGATGAGACATGGAAAGAATGCGAGAGAAGAGAGGTAAGCCACGATAAAAGTTACTGTTATGATGAGTATGAAAAAGATGCGGATAATAAATCTGATGAGAGTGAAAAGAATCTCGATCCGACCTTTGGCGACGTATATAGCAGTTCACAACGTGACACTTGTGACGTAGTTTCAGCAGTTAAAGACGCGTTGATTGAACTAGGGGTAAGTAAAATAAATGAAGGGAATTCGAGATCATTCAATGAGTCAATTAGAGTAGAAGTGTCTAACAGAGACAATAACACGAGACGCGATTACAAA